TCCAGACAGATGGAGCAGTGCACCTGCTCTTCTGAAAGGTTCCCAGTAGTGGCCATTCCTGCACGGCGGAGAGGCAGGGTCATTTTCAGTGCAAGCAACCAGCCTTTGAATGGGTCATCAAACCTGCTGTGATATCGAGGTCGCTAGGATTAGATGGCATGACCTTAATGATGTCGTCTACAAGCAGATCTACAAAGCAAAGCATGGCGGGACTCATTTATCATTACATGCTTTGAAATTACAGGTCATAATGTTTTAGGTAAACATTTAGAATAATGACAAATGAGTCCCGATTAGTCCCGACTCATTTTAAGAGCTTACATGCATATGTCAATATTTAAATACAAAACATAGTCAACATCTTTCATAATCATTATTTATATTAAGATATTTTGAAAATATTTAAATATTGATACTGCCCTCTTGTGGCCACATATTGTAATAGTCACACTGCTTTTAATTTCCGACCCAAGAAATTTATAGATAAATACAACTATAACTATAATAAGTTTATCAGAGGACGGCAATTAATAGAATCATCACATGAATTTTAACTCCTAATCTTTTCTTTTTAAAAGCAAACTCCATATCACAAGCTAAAGATTATTATGTCTCTCCTGTACGCTGGTACACTGCGACACAAATGTATCTGTGAAGCTGCAAGTAAGCAGGTTTGACCTATAAGACAGGCAGCTTCAGGCCTAGGTGTTCGTGACAGACCAGATTAAGATTTTTCCAAAAATACTAGCGTACCGCATGACCTGTCTTGCAGTGCTGGCAGCGCTTAATCTTTCTTATTTTGATAAATGAACACCTAGTACCTAAAAATATACAAACTTATAACTCTACGATTGAAGTCTTCTCTTGAACTATTTTAATCTATAATTCCCTGCCTGCAATGGAAAGAAAGTCCATACCACAGGTCAGCACTCATTAGAATAAAAATGTTATTAGAAAAAAAATCCAACAACAATACTCCCCTAAGAGTTATGTCTGTGTACAGAGAAGCAGATGATACCCTGTGGAAATTAAAAACACAGGAGGTGAAGGGAGAGACAAAAAGCAGAGATCTGGGAAACTCACCAGAGAGCAGCTGCCTGGAGACTCCACAGTGCACTGACATATGAGACAGGCTGTAACCGCTGCCCCTTACAGCCGCCCCCCACACAAACACACACTCAACTCAGACCCAAAATATACCCCGCTCCCTCAGTCTCCTTTTAACCTAGATACAAATATTCTCTGGCCATGACCCTCAAAGCTCCAGGAGGAATAGCTTTAAGTCTTCAGAGAATACAGCACATTAGCTAGGGTCAAATTCAGGAGTTTGACAAAGAAATTAAAATAGCAGAAGCAACACTAAAATCTGAGAAAGCTTACATGTTGAGGATTAAATTTTTTGTGTTAATAATTGTAGGATTTTCAAATTGGCAAAATTTAAAACACAAAAAAATATTAGACTGTTAGCTTAGCACAAAGATTAGAAGCACAGACCATATAAAAACATGGATGTAATATCCAGGTTTTAAAAA